TGTTTTCAGGTTGTATCGAAAATTGATATCCCTAATGTAATCATTAGCCTAGACATACACGTCACGCATTTTTGCAAAGAAAGTCAAATAATTCATATGTCATAAACAATCTACTTTACATGATTGGAAAGGCATATGAATGGCAGCAGATTTATACAGAACCTCAATAATCCACAGGTCCAAGTTGTCCGGGGTTGCAGGTGCAATCACAGACAACTTCTATAGCATATAACAGCCGAGAGCACCCCCAGCTCGGCTGGACCGATGTCGGCCGTAGCTGCTGTATGTTGTTGTACCTACATTTGCAGGCCAATCCGAATCCATAATTTACAACTTTATGTTTTCATTTGATAAATTTTGTAATTTCTCGCCCCATATATAATCAAACAAATAGTCTGTCATCTATTGAATTTGTATTTTTTTACGTTCATCACATATTGTTTGGTACAACTTACATTTCTCATATATAAAATGATGATTTTTCGTCCCTCATAAATGAAAAGTATATATTTTAGTCCCTCATATTCTTATTAGAAAAAAAAAAAAATCACGTGCATCTCATGCCTCACAAACTTTAGAGACAAAATTGAAAGGTTGTATGAATAAAAGAAATATAGTCTCTCACGTTTCTTTCTACTTTGTTCTATTTTCCTAGTTAAGAATGTAGCAGAATCCATGACTAGCTCTGAGCATGCTGGAGGTGTCATCGTCAGCCGCCACCACTTTCCGTAATTAAATTTCACGAAAATTCAATTCTCCTCTCAGTTTTTCACGTCTACTATAATTTCGTTATAAGTTTTTGTAAAAAAAAATTAGCAAAAATGGCTAATAGAATCTTTTATATATATATATATATATATATATATATATATATATATATAAGAATGTACTTTTTTACTCTAATATATCATTTAGAAGAAAACCACGAAACTATATCGAAATCAGATTCTCCACATTAGTGTTTTTTTTTTCACCCATATTCATTCATTTTTCATATAAGCTGATTTTGAGCTCAGATTCTACATGAACAACTTAGGGCGAGTTAAATTTTAGTAAAATTTTGTGACCAAAAGTGGTGGTGGTCGACAGCGACACCATAAGCACAGTGGTTGGAAGCAACCATGATTGTTGCCACATTCTTGGCTACGAAATTAAGATAAGAAGAAAGGAATGTGATGCATGTTTTTCATATTTTCCTTGTGATTCTCTAATTTTGCCCCTAGAGTTTTTGAAGCATGAACTACATGTGATTTTTTCGATAAGAATATGAATAGATATGAGTTGAGGGATTAAAATAATGCATCTTTTATTTGTTAGGGATGAAAAATCATCATTTTATATGTAAGAAACATAAAATGTACAAAACCAATGTATGAGAAGGGAAAAATCATCATTTTGTGTGTGAGGAATATAAAAAGTTCAAATCCCATGTGTGAGCAATCATTTGTATGATTTTCTCAAAGAAAAATGGAAATGATAGAATGACTTTCACCAAAATTAATGACACTATGCTTCTTTAACAAGCATGCTTGCTCCTCGTCTAGTTCATCAATTATATATTTCATGTTCAAATTATGATAATCAAATTTAGCTGAAGATAACTTCTGTTTCCCCTCATTTTTTTTATTTTATTAATATTAATAAAATTTACCGGTGGCATCCCTTTCCCCTGTACCGGATTTGCCGTTTAAAAATAAGAGATAACTTCTCTTTGTTTTTGGGAAACAAAAGAGCTTGCATTTTTTATATGCAATAAAAATGTTCAACTCACCGTTTCAAATAAAATGAACATTAATTGACAAAAGTATCACTTTCTCATTCATTAATGCTTTAAGATAAAGTATTTTCACTTCTTTTTAATTATTTTTGTAATAAATTTCTTAAGCAACCTTTTACCATGCATATATCACATCTCAAAAAGTACGATAATATTATTATTTTTTTCTACAAAGACTTTGAAAACCCCAAAAGAAAAAAAACAATTAAATTCCATACAGCTGTAAAGCTTCAGATGTCCAATCTGAAGAGTTGAGAATGATGCCAAAGTCCAAAGTAGGGATGTAATTGAGCCGAGTTGCTCGCGAGCTCGATCAAAAGCTTGATTCGAACTCGGATTGACCGAGTTCGAGTCGAGTTCGAGTGGCTTGATAAGCTAAATGAGTTGTATTCGAGTATCCAAAAGCGATGCTCGAAGGCTCGTCGAGGCTTATCGAACCTTTTAATTGTAATTATTTAATATATTATTATTATTATAAAATTACTCTTATACCAAAAGAGTTGTTGAATTTACGAAATATTTCAAATCATATAAAAATTTTAAAAGGACAATAATATCTTTTCGCACAAAAATTATCAAGAAAATAAAATTTAGTAACTCAAACTTGGTCAAGGCTCGATTGACTCGAGCCCATGCGAGTCGAACTCGAGTATTGCGAGCAAGTTTCGAGTTCACGCTCGAGCTCTAATAATACTACTCGCTCGAGTTGGAGCACCTTTCTTGTATATCGAGTCGAGCTCAAGTATGGCGATGCTCGAGCTCAACTCGACTCGATTACAGCTCTAGTCCAACGTACCCCTCATTCCGTAACTGCTTGTAAAACGGATGTTATTTGATCCGTCGTGGACTGGTTGCTTTCACGATCCCGCACTGTTGTAAGGGATACGTCACTCACATTGGAAGAAGTTATACGTTAGTGATTAGCCTCGTGCCGTAAACGCTGACGTTCTTGAATTTAGTCAAGATTTGGAAAAACAAGTTGCGTTTATGTGGAAATTGTATCCGTACACTAACTTGTCACCTTTTTGTGTCCATCTACTAATCTTTCACAAATTGAGAAATTAATTAGATCGACGGGTTAGTTGTGGTCAAGGGAGGACAGAAAAAATTGTTATTGAATCCCTTTCTTACCATGTCATCCATAGCAAACTTTTGCTATTTCCTGCTAGGTAGTCGAACAGCATGCACTATTAGGACAAATTTAATTGAATGCTTAAGCGGTGGGAATGTTTTAGGGCTTGTCTCAACTCATTCTGACTTTGTAAAGTATTATAGAATACATTTTCAAAAAATAAGATTTTTTTGATATAACACCTGTATTGTCACTTGCTATTTGATAAAAAGCTACTTACAAATTTGTTTGGATGTTCTCCAAAAAAAGCTACAAAGAGTTGATTTTTATTTAACAAATGATTAAATTGCCCTAATATATGTGTTGTATAATTAAATTTTTATTAAATAAACGACTTTTATTCAAAGTCAACCATATACGTTTGGAAGGATTAAGTACACGTATATCTATGCTCATTAACTAATCATTTACTTCATTTGCAATGTCTTTACTTTATAAAAGTGTCAATCACTTTGGCATTGTTTGTTTTGAGGGAATGGGAGGAAAAGGAAAGGAAAGGAAAGGAAACGAAGGGGCAAAATTTTTTATGTTTGAATTGGTTTTTGAGGAGGGAAAGGAAATGATTGGAAGGAAAATGGAGAGATAAGTTTTAGTTATCTTTTATCAGTTTGTTTTTCGTCAAAAAATGGGTGGAAACAGAGGGAAAGAATACCAAGATTAATGAAAATTTTTGAATTTTCTAAAAAATCTATCATGTATTTATAGATTAGACTTTTAAGTTATGGATAAAAACGTAATTAACGCGTGATGGTTTTCTTTCCTTTCCTTTCGTAATCAAAATGAGATAAATGAATTTAGGTTTTCTCCTCTCTTTTTTTTTTTTTTTTTCCCACTAGAATTCTCTCCTTTCCTTTCATTCCCTTTCCTTCAATCAAATGGTGCCTTATGTATAATAGTGAACGGCTTGCATAGTGTTATTATATGGTGAATATAAACAATTCCTGTGCATTTCCATACTTGCGTTCTACGGATGCTTCGTCCTCTTATTCCTTCCTTGTGATTTCTCCAAACCTATCAATCTCTGTCCTCCTTTAATTGGTCGGTGTCTAATTCCATAAAATCCATCCTTCAATCTGTCATCCTCATCAATCGTCATCCCTTAAATCAAGGTTAGACCACAAATCTACTCAAAAATATATTTCACCTTGCAACTTGCTAATAAATAAAAATCGAAACGAAGAGCACAAAATTTCGTATGCATACGAAAAAGAAGCAACTGAAAACAATTCATGCTTTTGCAATGAAGTTCAAGCACTGCTAATTGCACGGTCCCAGAGCATGGTTTTGGCGTTGCAATCAAGCTTCTTTATTTCTTTTGTGTTATCATTTGCGGAATGTGCACAGTTCTTTTTCGTTGCATGTTGAATAAGCTGGATTCGATTTTTCAAATATATAGTTGTATGAGCTTAATTGGAAGAAAATTGAATTCCGTGTTCTCAAGTGGACGTGATTCTGAAGTGCATTTGTAAATGAGGTTTTAATGGATTAAGAAGATTGTTTGGCTAGTTTCTAAATACCTTTTCTTTTAATCGTTTGATAAAAAAAAAAAAAAAAACGAAAACAGAGAGAAGGCTTGAAGCCCAGTAACTAGGCTATGTACAACTGTATACTCACCGTCCAGTGTACAACTAAGGCTTTAAATAAATATCCTATGTACGATTGTTAAGTTTGGACTTTGGACCCGTTTTTGTATGGCATTGGAATAAGTGGAACTTGTTAAGTTGGGCCCGACAATGATTCTCCACGTTTGCATTGGCGGTCTACGATACCGCGCCTTTAGCTAATAAATAGCTGCTCATGTTAGCTTCCTAAGTCCAAGCTTACGTGTGAAGTGCTACGGCTTCTAGGTATCCTTTCTTTGTCACTTTAATGCATGTAGACGCCAAATGTGTACTATAAATAATGAACTCTGAATCCCGAGTGCCAAATCCTCAGGCATACTCCAGTTGCATTACTACTACAGAACTACTACATCTTACATGATTCCAGATTCTCCGAAAATTTCGGGACGCCCTGCTCTGTCGTGCACCCAATTAAAAGGTTGTATATCGCAAAGACAACCTTAAAATTTCTGGGTAGCGAAATTTACAGATTCTCTGATCAGACGTCAGAAGAGTTATTTAAAGATGAAGTAGACAAGTGCATCATCTCAGCTCTCCAGCACGTCATCAGCAACACAGAAGCTGCAGCCCCGCCCACGGCCCCCGCCCACCAACAGCAACCAACTGTTATGCCTGAATTTGAGGGCGTCACCTCATTATCCCAATCCTCGGCGACTGCAAGCAGTGGCCTTGGCAGCAGCAGCACTGGAACCATGATGGAGGACAATGATGATCAGAGTCGTAACGACGAGAAGCAAAAGCAAAAGAACAAGAAAAAGAAGAAGAAGAAGAGGGAAGTTGAGCTGGATGGGGAAAAGAGAGTACATTTCAAAGGGGTGAGACAAAGGTCAGCGGGAAAATGGGTAGCGGAGATTAGAGACCCGCATCAAGGTCGAAGTGTATGGCTAGGCACATTTACCTCAGCAGAGGAGGCAGCCAGAGCTTACGACGGGAAATGCATCCAGTTTAGAGGAGATCGAGCTAAGACTAATTTCCCATCCTCAGACTATGCTAATGCTAATGATGATCAGTCGTCAGGCTCGCAACAACAACAGCAAGAAGGAGATGCACCTCCTCCAGCAGCAGCACTGCTATCCGTCAATGCGCCTGCGGTGTATACCAGTCCACTAATAACTAAAACTACCGCCAGTGCAAGTACAACAAACAGTACTACAACTGCTGCAGATGCTGGAGCTACAAGTTGGGAAGAAGATGAAGACTTTTGGGATCTGTTTCAGATACTTTCCGACACAGACTGGACGATGTTGGATTCTCCGCCGCCATCGGGACCTTAATTCATTTGGCTACCGTATCTACTACTAGCATGTTTACTACTTAGAACAAGTTCATTACGGATAGTGACCGTGGACAATAGAGTTTATTTAAATGATTACTTCCAAAAAACAAGAAAAAAAAAAAGAGGGATAATATGAGCACGTGTGTGAGTTTATATACAGAATATGCATGCCCAAGCATGCCTGAGTAATAGGAGCATGTTTTTAGCTTGGCATTCTAGTTGCTTGGTATGCTTTCGGTCTATTCCTTTTACCTATTTGTCAGGATTACTCTTGAATTTTTGTTTATATTTTGCAGAATTTTTGTTTATCTACACTATATAAAAGTGGGAGTTGGCTATTTTTCAGGATTACCCTTTAGTAGTTCTTTATTTTTCCCTAATGCCATTTGCTCTTTCTCCCTTGTTGAGGACACAGGAGGATGCATGTTACAGTTGTGTGGCTGCTTAAATAATTTATTTGTTCTTTGTCCCTATTTTGTTTGCCTCACTGTTGCCTATTGTGGTCCGCAGAGATCAGCCCCCTTAGCTATTTAGGAGTATTGCTTTAGCCTTGGTTGTGTGTTATTTTTCAGTTATGCCAGTCATTTTTCCCTTCATTCAAGATGTATGTTATAGTTGTTTGGTTGCTTTGTAATTTTGTTGTTTTTTACCCTGATTTTTGTTGACTTATTGTTCTCTTACTTTGCACCCCGAATTCTAATTTTAGACGCATTGCATTCTCAACTGTCCGATTATCCCATTTCAGTCCAATCGATAACTCCATCACAAAAATTAATAGAGAAACTAACTGTGTGCCCAATGCACCCTTGTAAGTCTTGACTGCCAAAAAACAACGAAAAGGCAAAGATGAAAATTCACAACTACAAGATAAAATACCATAATAGAAATCACTTTACATGTCCTATTATAATTCACTTCTCAACACTCAAAAAGGCAAAAAGGGTGTTTGAGGTTCCGACAGATCCGATGTATCTAACACTAGAACAATAACATTTAGTTAGACATACTATATAAGAAAGAAAAACTTAAGTCTTCAATGCAACCAAACTTAAATCCAACAAATAGAGATAGAGTGGAGAAATTTCTCATCCAAATGAATAAACAAGAGTCTCCAAGCTCCCTCCTCCTTTTAAGTCATTAATACATCAACATTGCATCAAAAGTTTTCCAAGAATTCTCCAATGCAGAAGGAAAACTAGAATAAAGTTATGACCTGTAGAGAAAAGGATGCTAGATGAAACTAACAGCCCGTTTGGTTGGGGGGTGTTGCACCCCTCAATGAGAATGAGAGAGAATTGATTATCATTGATGCTGTTTGGTACACCACTATGGGCTTTTTCATTACCCACTTTTGGGTCTTGCATTACCCAAAATCCTTTATGAGTGATTTGGCCACTTTCACACATATTACCAATCAAAATAAAAAGAAAACAAAAAAAAAGAACAAAAAACGAAAGGGAAAGGACGACTGCAGCACCAAATCTGCAATTTGGCCGTTGGAGCTCCACCTCTCCCATCTTCCCACCACCCCGTTCATCCCAGTCTCTCCCTCCTCCGTTCTTTCTCCCTCTCTCTCAAATCTGCAATTTCTCCCTTCTAGCTCCACCTCTCCCATCTTCCCACCACTCCCCTTCATCCCAATCTCTTTCCCCCTTTTTTCCCCGTCTCTCTCTCTCTCTCCGATGCAATTTCTCCCGCTTTTCTCGCTCATAAGAAGTTATGGTGTGATGAGACTTTTTGTTTCTATTTTTAGTAAGAATTTTTAAGTTAAAATTTGGTGCATTGCTGTGTGCGATATCAGAGATCGTCGGATGTGACTGGTGAAGGCACTGGTGGTAGTGATAGTGTTACTGGCGGTGGTGGCAGCATCAATTTTCTGAGCAAAATATTGCCCATCAGTTTTCTGAAGATCTTTTCGTGAGAATGATCCTTCAAAATCCAGCACTAGTTGTTACAAAGGAGGAGAAAAGATTGTTCAGATTTCCTTTCTTGGTTTGTATCTTGGGACCGCTGATAAGCTTGTTATTTTATTAAGCCAATACTTCCAGGAATTTGGATAAAGAAGATTAGAGATTTTATCAAGATCCCATTGAAATTAAAGGTTGAAAAAGGAAACCTTGCATCAAGAAAGAATACTACCAAGTTCCATGGATCAAATCGGTGTTGGATCCTTAATCCAACATTGGACTTATATGTGAATAATTATGTATTACAAACTGTCAATTAAGGTTAAACCCAATTAAAGTGATCAAATATAGTTTGAGTTTAATGTATCTAATAGGATGTGGGCCCTTTAATGTGTAGAAATTTATGGGCTCCTATTTCAATGATAGGCTGAAATAGGGCTCCAAAAAGTAACAGGAATGTTACCTATAAATAGGGTTATGGTCCCCAGGTCACAAGTATCGTTTTAGTTGTCGTATTTCCTAATACCACAAAATAGTTTCTCTCTGGTATCTTTCCTGACGATGGGATATCAGGGAAGAGTTATTTTGTGGTATTAGGAAATACGACAACTAAAACGATACTTGTGACCTGGGGACCATAACCCTATTTATAGGTAACATTCCTGTTACCTTTTGGAGCCCTATTTCAGCCCATCATTGAAATAGGAGCCCATAAGTTTCTACACATTAAAGGGCCCACATCCTATTAGATACATTAAACCCAAACTATATTTGATCACTTTAATTGGGTTTAACCTTAATTGACAGTTTGCAATACATAATTATTCACATATAAGTCCAATGTTGGATTAAGGATCTAACAATCTCCCACTTGGACTATATGTGTAACCTTATAATTATGTTTTGCAATTAACCGTATGAGCTCAACTTTACTGTCATTATCACAATGTATCTGTAACCAATTCGGTCCATCAATTACACCAATATATGATCAAAGCGGCCTTTGCTACAATTTCGTAACTCGACCCATCAATGGTCACATATATCAATGCAATTGAATGACATGAATTATGATGTGGATGTGTAGCATGAAAATTTCATGTAATGTGATCAAAACATGCCTATTTCCAATTGGTCCACCTTAAATTTTATGAAATCAAACCACACCAAAGTTAGAGTGCAAATAAATCCAAATTTTATTTATGCATAAAATATCCTTAAATCCTTAATACTTGAAAAAAAATATCATAAGAGCATTTAAAATAACAAACTCCCACTAAAACTGTACATCATTTAATATGACACCCATATGAACAGTATGCTCATGAAACATTTTGGGTGGCAATCCCTTAGTAAGCGGATCCGCAACCATGGAGTTTGTCCCGATATGCTCTATCGATAACTGCCCATTCTGCACTCTTTCTTTAACAGCCAGGAACTTGATGTCTATATGTTTAGATTTCGTCGAGCTCCTGTTATTGTTGGAATATAGGACTGCTGACTTGTTGTCACAAAATAATTTGAGTGGTCTTTCAATACTATCTACCACACGTAATCCTGTGACAAAATTTCGCAGCCAAATTCCTTGATTGGATGCCTCATAACAAGCTATAAATTTGATAAATTTGAGCGGAAACGTACCTGAATCCATATTGATAAATTTGATACTTGAATCCCTAGAGATTTCGGTGAATACCTATTGACCTGGAAGGCCACCCCAAAATCTCCAGGGATTCAAGTATCAAATTTATCAATATGGATTCAGGTACGCTTCCGCTATTTTACAGTTAATTATTTCTTAATAGTCGCCATATCAATTTTGGGTTTAATAGGTGATGGCTTTCACCAAAGGTTGATATAAATTACCACCCTAACAATCGGTGCTTTAGTCGGGAGCAAGGCAAGATATCATCAGAAAGGAAGCAAAAACCGAAAATAAATGATGGCAGTGGTAGTGGCCGGGACACCATTGCTGGACACTGGAGATGAAGAGAAAGGAGGAAAAGGATAATAATTTTCTTCATTTTTAATTCAAAAAGTCATTCTATGACAGCCCCACCTCACCCTAAGGCCAACCAAAGGGTTCGGCGGACTGCCTGTCTAGCTCTCGCCAGGACTACGGAGTCCATTCCCACAAACCCAACATAGTACGTGCGAAAGGATCCAAAGAAAACGAACAATCGGAAACTACATATATTTTCATTGGAGTCTTGAACAAATTAACATACAGTACAATCCGAGGTATTCATACTACACAAAATACAATTAGGGCTTCGTTTTTAAAAGAGCAAGTACAATTAGGGTTTCCAACCATTGAGGAGCAATACAAAATATCTAACTAGCTCAACTCAGGCTTCAAAGTCACAGTTCCAAAGAGTGGTTCCCTGTAAGGAAAACAAAGGTAACAGAAAGGGGTGAGCTTACGCTCAATGAGGTACCAAACATATAGGGAAAAAATCATGGCCTTTCATGTTGAATCAATCAGATACATATACCGGATCTAAGGAAAGCATTTAAATACCATGGTTCAAAGGAAAAGGATACGGGTGGCTCTCAGGAGTCAGATTTCCATTTGCCGTACTTGATCCGAACCCGTTGACTCTCCGTCAACGTAATTAGAACCAACATGTCCGTAGACCCCACTTTACACCAATTTCCGTCCACCAAACATATCCCTACCGGGCCCGAACTCCATACAGTACAGAAATGGTAATACTCGAGTATACCGGAATCAAGAGTCTCAATACCCAAAAATTCCCAGAACAGACTACTGTGGTTCGTTATCTAATCGACCAGACCCTTGTCGGCCCGACTTGAGTCACTAGCCATAGGTGTTGAGCTCAGAGGTCACAGAAAGATTGTTGGATACCAGCCTCCAAACGACGTCCGAACAGATTCAGATACAGTTAACATACTATACACAGTAAATAGGCCTATGGACAGACAAGAGAGCGAGTGTGATAAGGTACACCCTCGTCTCCAACAGAATAAACAGATAGTACAGTCATTCAGATCATAGATTGCAAGTATAGAAATCAAGTTAAGTAACAAATAAGGGGAGTGGTACACTCACTAGTTCAGGTACAGGTAC